GCACAGATGTGCCTGGGACTCCACAATGGAAAACAGACAAGATTTGAAGCAGCAAGCTCTATCACAGTCCTAGTCAAACAGGTGTAATGTGACTATGGATTGGGCATGTGTGCATCTTTGGTCTCCAGACACCCGACTGAAAAGCTGCATGGTTTAGCTGACATTCACATTAACAGCTGCATCTGTGCTGTAGGCACCAGGGAAAAAATGGCAGGTCTCCATGGAAATACAGGAAAGCCCATGTACTGAATGCTTTCCATATGGGACACATGACCCAATCCTCTATTACAGGAAGCTATTTAAGACATGAGATATCTGGCAGCCCACTGAGCGAATGATCAAGAGGTTCCTCTCAGCTTGGGCCCAGGGACCCCCAAAGCTATACTCTAAGATGGTACTACATGGCACCTTTGAGCCAGGATTTCTTCTTTGTTTCCCTTTTTTGCCAAAGCCTTGCAGTAGAACTGCCCAATATTTCTGAGCTTTCAAGCCACTGACCAATATCTTCATATAGCCAAGCAGCATGAGATACCTACACTTGTATGCATGTTGCATCTCACATGTGGTATGAGAGCAGGGGGAGGCGCAGGGTCAAAGGAGGGAGACAGGGACGGCTGAAGAATCCTGCTGTGGAATGGGGGTGGGCATCCCAAAGTGACTCTCCCTGCCAGGCTGAACCCAGCAGCCTCTGCTGGTCACTTCTTCCCACAGCCAGCGATGTGGGTACTCAGGTCCTCCCTTTGTATAAATATAGCCTGAATGATAACGTGGCACAGCCTTGGCCTGACAGCTGCTCTTGAATTGCCACAGGAGTGCATAGAGTTCAAAAGCCACAATTTGTCTATCCCTGCTCCCTGGCCTACTAGGCTGCCTTGAGTTTTGGAGAGGGAAAGAAACCACAGCTCATCCTCTCTGCATCCCCCAACTCCTCACCTGTACCTGTGCTGAGGGCAACTAGAAAAATGTACTGTGCACCCCAACTGCCTCATAACCGACCACAGTCTAGATAACCCTACAAAGGTAAAACCAAGAGAACAAACTTTTTGGATTTCATATAACTCAAGCCATAAACTAGCACCAGAGGGGAGAAAAAGACACTATATTTATTTCTTCTTATGTGGGGGAAAAACGAGCAAGAGGTCACTGTTACAGCATAAGTAATTGAGTCCTAATTGCATGATTACTTCATTATTTGTCACAATGTTTATGGCTTGCAAACTGTAGACTCAAGCAGAAATGTTAGTGAGTTGAAAAGATTAAGTAAATCAGGCCATTTTTTACAAGACTTTCTAGAACGGAGGTAGTTTCTCGACTGCTTGGATTCCTACCAGCCAAACATTAGAGTGATTTATTTCCTCTCCCCTGTAAGTTTGGCTTGGAAAATTGCCACATTCACTCTGAAGGCAAAGCAGAGCAATTCTGCAAAGGCAAGAGAAAGTGTATTTCACATTCTCTGAGGGTAGCTGATGGAAAAGTTCCCCTAAATTGGAACACACATTGTCACCGAACGTTTCTTTGTCTCTTTCTGGCCCCAAATGTTTTTTGTTCTATCCTCAACTTTCTCAAATTGTTAAATCTGTCTGATAAGTTTTGAGTGCAGTGAAATGTGGAGAAAAGGCACTGGAATCAGAGAAAAAAGTTCATACATGTTGAAGTTCATACGGAGGCTTTGCTCTACTTTCCGTAAAGTCGAGGAAGCAAAAAGGAGTCCTCTGGTCTCTTAGGGGACCCCTGCCATCCTGGTGGCTGCAGACTGGCTGTGCTGAAAGGTGCCCTAAGGGGGCTATGCAGCCCGCGAGAGGATTATCAGAGACCTAATATCTTGTTGTAGTCTCTGCCTATATTCTTTTTTACTGTGTATATAAAAAAAAAAAAAAAAAAAAGAAAAAGAAAAAAAAAAGGAAAAAAAAAGGATTGTCTGGGAACTGTGCATCCGTAGTGTTGTATGAATAAACGGATGGTGTTCCAGAAGGCAATGTTAAAAAAGTTGACATTTCTAATGCTGGGCAACAGCACAATACTGAAGACCAGATGACAGTGTGCATGTTAGTGACAGAATCAAAAGACCAATAGCTGATTCAACAGAAAAATGAAATCCCATTAAAAAAAGGCAGCGTATACTATTCTTCTGTTGTCAGAATTGACTACTTTCCACCTACTTTCCTTATTTTATCCTGCTGAGTAGCAAGTAGCACCACAGGTAGCGCTTTTTGCAAACCCATCTTTCTGTGTGCCTTTACTGCAGATTTCACTCTCCATTCAATATCCATCACCCCAAATGCCTTCCCCGATGAGTGTCCGTTGTAGGTTTTGTGTCACTTTCTGGCCTTGAAACGTGCCAGGTATCTTGCGCAACAGTTGATCTGAAGCCCTGTGAGGGGGTTTAAAGTGTGAAGACAGAAACAGTGAGGGAGGGACAAGCGTGTGGGTGTCAAACTAGCAATCACTTTGTTCGCTCTTCAGAGAGAAAGAACCAACTGTTTTTGTTACAGTTTTGTGGTGTTTATCACAATTTCAAAATGGTCACTGATATTCTGCAAGCTACTCTCGATCCAAGTCCCAGTCTGGTGGCTGACATTCACGATGCCAAATCCAAATTTCAGCATTCAGTCACAAATAAAAATCAAACAGAAAGGGAAAAAGCCCAGAGCTACCCCACCTAGCTTCAGAAGTCCTATTTCCCCTTATCACAGACCGAGTTTGGAGAAACAAAGCTATTTTTCTCTTAACCAGTTTACTATTCTACTAATGTGTGACAATGGACATTTCTGAACTGTGGCTTCAGCATCTTAGCCTCTTCATACTTTCTGAACTGCAGTCACATATATTCCTGTGACTGAAATACCAGGAGAAATGTAATGGATTTCCAATTTCCTCTCCTCTTCCAAACATGAACACTGTCAGCTGCTTTTCACAAGGGCTGATGAGACAACCAGCAATCAGGCTTTCTATTTTCATCTCCTCAGGACTTAACTCTTAAACTGTGCAGCAGCAGCAGCTCTGCTCTGCTTCCCTGCACAGCACTCCGAGCATTACTATTCCAGATGCTTTTTCCAAATAAGCAAACATGCAAAAAGAAAACATGCTGTTGTTTATGAAGACTATTTGCCCTGTGCTTATTGTGGGAGGCAGCATTCTTTCACAGGTAAACAAAATGAAACACCTTTGTCAGTGGTGGACACGGACTGGCAATTTGATCCCTGCACCCTTATAAGGCTTGATCTGATGGACCAAAGCTGCAGAGGGCAACTGATTTAGAGTCCTCTGTCTGCAGGGCTGCATCATTGGCCGCTTCATCAACTCCCTTTGTATTAGCTAAGGTAATGTTTTCTTAAGAAGTTTGCCTTCATGATAAGGGTATTTTTGTGCTGTATCGGCCAAGTCATAAAATATATAAAAGAAATTAAAAGCAAAAGGCCCTTTATAACTGCTAAATGAATTATTTTTACAATAATCCTTCTGCCTACGGCAGATATTCTTGTCATTATAAAACCAAATAAATCAATCATATTAAAATAATTTCCCTTTTTTTTTTTTTGGGGGGCAGGTTCTGCTCCTGTGCTAGTGGATATTTTTATCCACTTTGAAAACAATGTTATATATGGCTATACATATGTAAATTGGAAACATTAGTTTCGAACTTTCAACCTTCCTAGATGTTCCCTGCAGATATCCCACTCCTGTAGGGTAGCAGGGCCCCAGGTGACCATACAAGTCACACAAAAGGATCAGAGTCTATATTCTTGCTTTTCCTCCTTTCCACAAAACTAAAGCCCATATCAATATACTTTCCTTGTCACGTTAATA